AACACCTTAGTCAAAAGCGAGAGAAGGCAATCATGATTGATTGAAGTGATGTCAATGAACAAGGTTCTGTGAAGTTTGATGAGTCGTCAGATGATGAAGAAAAGGTTGTTGCTTTTGTTACTCCATTTGAGGAAGTGTCTGTAAGTGATGATAATTCTGTTCTAAATACGAATAAAGAGATGACTTATGATGAATTGTGCATTAAGTATGATACATTCTTTGATGAGACATGCTCTACAAAAGTGGAGAAGATTGAACTAGCTAAGAAAGTTACTGAGTTACAAAAGGAAAACAAGTCTCTTCGTCCAGTCAGAATTATACTGGATGAAAAGATTGGTTATTTTGAGGCTCATGTTGAAGAGCTGAATGAGAAAGCTCATAACTGCAATGACAAAGTTGAAGATTAATATGTCATCTCTACTCTTGAAGCTCAGGTCCATAACTTGCTAAAATCTTAAGAAAACTTGACAAATCAAACTCATGTGTTGAAGGCAAACAATGTGATGTATCATGAGGCTAACAAAAAATAGCTACTTGAGCTGAATGAGGTAGATGATAAAGTTATTCACCTTACTATTGGAGTTGAAAAAAATTGACAAGATGCTTAGTTTTGGGAAACTACACGGTGACAAAAGTGGTATTGGTTTTGTAGAAAGTGGCTCAAATTCTATTCCCACCAAAACAAAATTTGTGAGAAAATCTAGGCCTATATCTTAGAATGTCAAACCATGTCCAAAGACAAGATCTATTCCTATGTGTCATCATTGTGGTGAAGTTGGGCACATTCATTCAAAATGTAGAAAATTGTACTCTGGAAAGCCCAACTTACTGAAAGATCAGGTGGACCATCTGGTCATTGAAGTCAACAGAATTGCCCAGCTTGTTCATTCTTCTTCATCTGGAAATATTAAGCAAAGTTTGAAGTGGGTTCAGAAAGACTCAAACAGGTGCCATATTGTTCTAAATGCTCTATCTGTTGCCAAGCTAAATGTATGGTATCTTAATAGTGGATGATCTCATCACATGACTGGAGACAAGGAGGCTTTCTCATCTCTTACTCCCTTTATTGGTGGTGGTGGAGACAAGTCTTAGATCATAGGGAAATATGTTGTCAAGATCCCTGGATTACCTAAGCTTGAAAATGTTAGCTATGTTGATGGGTTAAAGTTAAATCGTATTAGCATTAGCTAGTTGTGTGATGATGTGGCTGATGAAGTGTGTTTCTCAAAAAGAGGGTGTCAAATTATAGATGAACATGGAAAAAACTTGCTTGTACTTCTGAGATATGAGACAATTACTACATTCTTAATGTCTTTAAAGTTGCTAAATACCCCAAGTACCATAAAGCTACTGATGAAGCTAGTGTTATGTGGCATAAGAAACTTGGGTATGTGAACTTCAAAGACCTCAAGAAGTTATCCAAACATGAGGTTGTGAGAAGGCTGCCACCTTTTTCTATTTCTGACTCATATGTTTGCAAACCATGTCAAATGGGAAAGCAATTTAGAGTGGCACACAAGAAAGTGATTGACATCGGAACAACTAAGTCTCTTCAATTGATTCATATGGATCTTGTTGGACCAATTCAGACATTATCTCTTGGTGGCAAGAAGTACATTTTAGTACTTGTGGATGACTACTCTAGATTCACTTGGGTTTGCTTTTTAAGGGAAAAATCTGATACCTTTCAACAGTTCTTCACTGTGTACAAAGTAATGTTGAATGAATCTCTGTCTAGCCATTATGCTCTAGTCAGAATTAGAACGGATCATGGAACCAAATTTGAGAATGCTCACTTTGATGATTTCTGTTCAACCAATGACATTAAGCATGAATTTTCTGCTCAAATCATCGCTCAACAAAATGGTGTAGTGGAAAGGAAAAATCGTGTTTTGATTGAGTAAGGTGCTACTTAACAACAAAAACTTGGCAAAGCACTTTTGGGGCAAGGCAATGAACACTGCTTGCTATATCTCAAATCATATGTTCCTCAGAACTGGAACTAATGTGACTCCCTATGAACTCTGGATGGGTAAAAAGCCAATGGTAAAGTATTTGAAAGTCTTTGGGAGTCCATAAATGTCAAGATTGATGACATTGATGTCCCTCCCTTTTTGGCAACTGAAAATGACAATGTGTTATTTCCATTTTCTAAGGATAATGGTGATGCTTCTAGTGAGTCAAGTGTGGTGTCAGAAAGTGACAATGACAGTGAATCAAGCACTGATCAAGACTCTCGTGTTTTATTCAAGGACAAACCAAAGTGGGCTAAAGGTCATTGTGATGAGGAAATTGTGGGTCTGATTGACAAAAAACGTTAGAACACGAAGACAAATAGCTGATGAAGTTGCAAATGTTTGCTATGTTTCCCAGATTGAGCCTAAGCATATCAAGGATACTCTAACTGATGATGAATGGATCTTAGCCATGCAGGAAGAGCTGAATTATTTTGAGAGGAATGAAGCCTGGTCTATTGTTGATCGTCCATCGAACACTAATGTTATTGGGACAAAATGGATTTACAAGAACAAGTCTGATAAGTCAGGGAATGTAATAAAAAATAAGGCCAGGCTTGATTCTCGAGGATACTCTCAACTTGAAGGTGTTGATTTTGATGAAACCTTCACTTTTTTTACTCGTCTTAAATCAGTCAGACTTCTATGTGCAATTGCATACCATTTAAAGTTCAAACTTTTTCAAATGGATGTCAAAACCCCATTCCTTAATATTTTAATGAGGAGGTCTACGTGGAATAACCAAAGAGCTTTGAGGATCCTCACAAGCCAGATGGGGTGTACAAACTAAGAAAGGCTCTCTAGGTCTCAAACAAGCCCTACGTGATTGGTATGATAGGTTGTCGTCTTATCTTCTTACTCATGGCTACACTCATGGTTATGTTGATAAAACCTTGTTTGTTAAGAAGGTTAAATCTCATGTTGTGATTGCTTAAGTATATATGGATGGCATAGTTGCTGGATCTACTTCTGATTCTCTTGTGAAACAATTTATCGATATGATGACAGGTGAATTTGAGATGAGTTTGGTTGGTGAATTAAACTACTTCCTTGGACTTCAAGTGAAATAAGAAAATGATGGCATCTTCATCTCTCAAACAAAGAATGCCAAGAATTTGGTGAAGAAGTTCGTCTAGAGGGTCAAAAGCTGCTAGATCTCCCATAAGCACTTGTGCCCAAATTCATAAGGACTGAAGTGGCAAGGATGTTGATCAGACTTTGTATAGAAGGATCTCAAATTCATGTTTCAATAGTCATCTCTTCTTTCTGTTGAGTCATTGTCTCTCATCAGATAAATGAAGTTATAATTTTGAATTATGAGGAAGTGTTTACATGAAGCGAATTAATTCTGGGGGAGTTTCCATTATAGGGAAGTCAATTCAGAATGCATGCATGCATCTCTTTGTGCTTACTTGTTGCTAGTCTATTTGTTACTACACTTTACTTGGGCATATCCATATAATCTATTGCAATTTCTTTATCCGCTGTGCTCTTGTGGTTATTCTCATGAGTGCAGCAAATTTGACTCTTATGTGTGATTTCCACCACTTCTTTGTCTTACCATGACAAAATAGTGATATCCACCACTTCTTTGTTCTTCCTAGGCGATGGTGAATGTTTAGGTGCCGCTGCTGGTTGGGATTGTGCTAGTTGTTGGGCACGCGGCGTTGAGGTGGATCGATAAGTTGCTGTGGATGAAGAAAGCTCTGCGTTGTTGATTGGTTATGCAGCGAGATTCTACGGATTTGAATGAATCGGTGGTAGCGGTGGTTTGGGTAAACTATTTGGAGAAACAATTTATAGTCTCATTGAAAGTGTGTTGTCGAGAAGAGGGGAACGCTGTAACGTATAGGCAACGACAGCGCACCAACACAGGACATGTATCTATATGGGCAAATTCGTAATTTTATTGTGAAGATGAGAAATAAAGGAAGAGAAAAACACTTGAAGAGGGGTAGTTTCATCCTTTCACTGTGCTTAGGAACAGTGAAGATGCTGAACTGGGTTTTAGTATATATAGAATTTTAGATAGTCTTAGAAAAGTGTTTGAAGGTTATATATATATATATATATATATATATATTTTTTTTTTTTTAAAGTACGATATTCATTGATAAGATTTAGCGAATACATACAAAACATGTTGTCACATTGGGCTTCAATAAAAACCTTGTCAGGATTTCCACCTGATTGAAGTGAAAAAGAGTGTCCTGCATCAAACTACATAATAGTACTATCCTCGAATAAGAGATCAATAATATCAGGGGTTTTTCAAATCACACTACATGTTGTTCTGGAGATAGCCCCATCCTTGCCAATTTGTGATATGTGTGGATCAAGTTAGTTTATTAGGGTGATTGTGTGCCTACCATTTGTGCTTATATTTTGGAGGGTGTATTCAATTGGGAATTAGAGAGATTTTAATGGATTTATAAATACATGGATTTTTCTAGAGTTTAATTAATTTGTAGAGATTCCATGTAAAATTTTGATTCAATTCTCTCGAAATCTCGTAGGGAGAGATTTGTGGATGCTTAAAATACATTACAAAATCTCTCTAATTCCCTCTAATTCCTCAACCTTATAAAATTCTTTAAAATCAAATTCTAATCGAATACACTTGAAATGTTATAAACTTCTTTAAAATGCTAATTGAATACATCCAGATTTATAAGGATTTAATAAACTATCTTAAAATCTTGATTAAATACATATTGAATTTCAGATAATCACTTAAAATCCTGATTGAATATTCCTAAATTCATTAAAATAATTAAAATCCCTCAAAATCTCAATTGAATACATCCCTCTTAGTTTGCCATACGCAAAGATTATTTATTTATTTAATCATCTCTCCGCATTGATTAGAGAGTTTAAATTAAAATATCGTCTTGTGCAATTTTGAAATTTAGACGAAGGAGAACTTGGGGTCTAAAGACAATATTTGGGTGTCCATTAACTTGTCAAAATTGAACCCAGTAGCCCAATAGGCACCACAACCCTCCAATAGCCCGTTACCCACGCCAGCCCACCCGTTGGCTTTCCTTCTCCTTCTCCCCACTTTCCTCGTTCCGTCGTTCGGCACTCGGTCACACTCCCACGCTTCCACCCCACCAAGCCTTCAGCCTTGTTCCCGACAGGTACGTGAATTGCTCTCTCTCTCTCTCTCTCTCTCTCTCTCTCGTCCGTTCATGTTTTCTTCCTTCAGAATAAATAGACGTGTTTAATCATTTTTCAAAAATGTATTTTTATGATTAATTATTTTATGCTGTGAATTTTTGGTCGATTGCCCCCTCCACTTCATAAGCAAGTAATAATCCAGGATTAGGAAATTATGTTTTTTTTTTTTTTTCTAGCATACGAAAGGGTTTGTGTTATTTGAATTTTTGAGCTGTCCTGGTTTGCTTTTTTGCTTTGGATTTGGGCATCACAGTCCTTTACTTTTTATTTTCCTGGTTTCTTCTTTTTTTTCCTCAGTGTTTGTGTTTCCCTCTACTTTTGGATAAAGATTTCTGATGGTTTAGTTTTCTTCTTATTCTAACAGCTTAATGTAGTTTGATATCCTGCAAGAGAGCTAAAAAGGTTGAACTTGGTCGAGGAGTTTCGTATTTGTTTCGTTTGAGGTACAATCTTACTACTTTTCGTGTTCTTTCGTATCGAGTTCATCGAAGGTTGATTGACTATCATCGTTTTCATGTTATTTGTTCATGCTTGGAGGTTGTAGTTTGCTCTTTGATCTAGTAAATCAAAATACGATTATCTCAGTATATGAATTTAGTGAATTTACAAATGCACGTCTATATGCGTTGCACCGACTTCATAATGCTATAACTTGTACAGAAAACTTGAACCGTGCGCTAGACTGGTTTTGGTGTTTCTTACCATTAGTAGTAGAGTTGCAGAAGCTATATCTTATGTTATGTATTACTTGCTTCTGGTTCTACTTACGGCTAGGGTAATCAGAGATATTTCTGTCAGTTGCTTTTGAGTAGAATCAAATATGTTTTTGGTGTTATCTCTAAGACCAATTATGCTGGCATTGCTGTTAATAGCATGTACTTGAGTGAAAATTAAGGTTAAGCATTATAAGATACCTCTGGCACTTGGATAACCTTTCCACTTTGTGGAACTTCCAAATATGCAACTTCTTTGCTAGGAACACGGAAATTGGTTTTGACGAGCGTGTTTATTTTTTCTGCTTCCCTCTGTGGAGAAAGGGAACTCTAAGGTAAATTGATATTGTTGGATTTCCCTGTCTTCAATCATCAGCCCTACAACTAGTCTTACAACCACTAAGGACTAACAAATCAGTGTCTGTGTGAAACTTTTGAGGTGGCGGAGCAACAAAGAATGCACGTTCCTTTCACTTTCTGGATTTCAGTTTATCAGATGGTTTGGTGGGAGTGGGAGTCAGATTAAATTTGTGTACCAAAGTTGAACTCAAATTGTTTCGGAATGTCTATTAAGATGCATCTGAACTTACAATTTTGGGAACCTGGATTTATTCGGTCCTGTATATCTTGGCAATCAGGCCTACAATAATGCATTAGTTAGCATGTTGTATTTGAAGGAATTTTTTTTTTTTAAATTATATCTTTATTTAACACGTCGAAGCAATTAGTATTTGGTTCTACTTGTTTGATAAAAATTGGGTGGAAGGTGCAACCAGTTTGATTCAAGTGTGTTATCACCGTTCTGTCAGTGCTTAAATGAATTTGGTTAGAACTTACCCTGTGGCTGTGGGTTACGATAACTAAAAGTGTCTATGTACACCCCTTGAGGAGAATTAACCACCAGAGTTTAGTATCTTTGTTTGGTTGATAAATGTTTTTGTATCCAATATGCTTTTATTAAACGAAAAACAGCAGGACTGCCTCAGAATGACGGTTGTGAAGCGGTACGTGCTGCGAATGTTCATATCATTGAAGTACATTACAGCAAACGTAGTGGACAGAAATAATGGCAGGATTGTTGTATCAGCATCTACAGTTGAACATTCAATCAAGGGCTCACTCGAATGTGGAAGGTCTTGCAACGCAAAGGCGGCGGCAGTTGTTGGAGAGGTGTTGGCTAGGAGACTCAAGGTGGAAGGTCTTGATGAGGGACAGGGACGAGGGATTCACGTCAATGTAAATAACGAAGTCGAGAAGAAGGGTTTCAGGAACCGCACCAAGATTTGGGCTATTGTCAATGCTCTTAAGAACAATGGAGTCAAACTCGTTCTTGATGATAACGATGAAAATACTTCTCGGTGGAGTTAGTATTGAGAGCTCTCTTGTTTCATTCCTTCTATGTGTCCATGTGCTGAATATACGTGTGATTGTTAGTAGCGACATGGACGGATTTACGCTCATTGTACAGAATCCGCAATTACCGGAATGTGTATGTTTTGTTTTCTACAGTGCAGCGTAGCTATGATTAGGACAGGGGGAGTGACGGAGCTCCTTGAAAGACTAATGTCACAAATTGCTGTCACTTTTCATGTTTTCTAATTGATTTTTCATGCTTAAAATTATCGAATCTTTATTCGTTTGAACTTTTCTACCACTTGTGTCGATGTTGCTTTAGTACGTGACGAAAAACAATCATGACTATGCACTCTGGTGCGGGTTTGATTCCTATCAATTTCACTCCAACAACTAACAATTTAACTCATTAATACTATCGTTTGTGAAAATAAAAATAAAAACTTTTCTACCATTTATGTTTAGATACTCGACGGTACTTGAGTCTGCAGTCAATATTGCCGTCTATGTTGTTGATATTGCAAATTGCAAACTTACAGTTGTCAATATGTGGTGGTGTTTGATATTTGTCAATATTGGCTATGTTGGCGGTGGACCGTGCTAAACCTAAAAGTTTATTCTTGATAACAGGAGCAAAGTGACTTGGGGTGATATTTGAGGTTTTATTTGCAACTACCTTTACCAGCAAATCTTGCAGCATCTTCAAATGGGATAAATTGGCTCAGAATTGAATGTTATGCTTTGTCAGGGAGTTGGTGTCATGCATTCCTTCCCATGAAGTTGTATTGATAGTGAGTCGGTGGAGGTTCGTGGGAGGACTTTCACCAAACTGCCAAATTTAAAAAGTTTTGACTGTCGGCTCTCTCAATCCTGATGGATATCAAAACTTTTTTTTATTTTTTTATCAAGCGTTAAATTTTGTTAAATTAGTTATTGACGGAATTCAATACTGGATTATCTAGTCATTTATGAGTCAAATTTTCACATTTTAAAGAACATTGCTCATTTGTTCTGTTCGGTAATATTCCTCCGTTACATGTTAATCAAGATCATGTTTTATATACATACATATATATATATATATATATGTATAGGAAATAAATTTGGATGCAACACGAGGAATTTCTTTAAAAGATCGCTAATTCTAGTAATTACCTCCTATTTATGAAGATCATACATTACATAAAGTCCACATTTTTTTGGCTTAATTTGAGGCTCTATGAAATAAAGAACTTTTGACAATATATTTGTACCTCCAGTGTTTAATAGCATTTACACTTGCACCGTGATTAGCATAACCATTCCCGCTTCTCAGTATTAAAAATCGCATCTCTCAATATAACAAATATAGCAAAATAAAATATAAGAAAAACTTCAAATCAATCTAATTAATATCGGTCTAGTGATAGTTTTCTTCACTTGTAAGTGAGATGTTTTAAGTTTGATTCTCGTCAAATAAGAAGTTGAACCACATTATTACTAGTCTATTGTAAGGTTAAACTCAGCTCATTTCCTTTAGTGTAAATAATTTTGTTGATAAAAAAAAAAATATTGTTGATAAAAAAAAAAAATCAATCTGATTAATAATATCAATTAGGGCTCCACTTTTTCTGCCCAGGCAGCTGTGGAAAAGGAAAAATAAAGGTAAATGAGAACCTTGGAATTTGACATGCAAACTGCAAAGGTCTTAAAAGGTGGATAAAGAAAGAAAAAGTTTATCCCTTCGCCATATTTTTGTCTTAATAATTAAAATCTTTTAGGAACTAAAGAGTTATTCCTAATGAGAATATTCACCTCTCTTAACACGAATATACTAAGGTAGTGTTCAAAGAGAGCAAACATGCTTTAACTTTTGTTGGGAGAATATAATCAACCTTAACATTATGCCCCATCGACTTCTTTCTCATTCTATTTTGTACGTAACCCTTTGAAGATCATGTCATCTTGGTAAAGAATTAATTAATTCTGAAATCGTTTAGCCATTTAACAATTATCTAATAAATAGATAAATTGTGTTTCTCACTCCAACCTTGAAATTTTGACAACATTACTCGCACACTACAATTTCTAATTTACCTATTTTTTAGAATTGATTTTAAAAAAATAACATAAAAAGTAAAGAGTTCTTATCATCAAACAACATGGAGGAAAATCAGAAAAACGAGAAAGCTCGAGTAAGGGCTGGTTTGGTATTACTGTGCTTTGAAAAAAAACTGATTCTGCTGTGCTGTGAGAATAAGCGACTGTGAAATAAAGCAACAGAGTGTTTGGTAAACTTTTATGTAAAACAGATGTGAAAAAAAACCGATTTTTCAAAGCTAGGTTTTGCAGCTTCTTGTTTTTGGCTTTTTTTCACCCAAAATTGTGAAAAAAAGCTGAAGCTAAATGTTTACCAAACACAAAAACAGCTCCCAGCTTTTTTTTATACCAGTTTTTTTCAGAATCACTTCAGTACCAAACCAGGTCTAAGAAGGTTGCTTCGCATCCCTTTTTGTAAGCTAGATCATCACATCATTTTAATGACAGAATGTGGGCTTAAAGAAATCCGAGCTCTTTGTACGTAATCTACGGTATATGGATATACGCATAATATAACTTCTTGTGGGGGCTGTAAACGAAATGCTTTGAAATAGTAAAGACCATGAAAAAGAAAGCCTTTTGTGTCCGCATTTGAAATGGTTTTTCATCATAAAGAAGACTTTATCTTCTTGACTTAAATGATTCCATTCTTTCTTCATCTTTGTTTTTATTTTTCTTTTCTTGTTTTATTAAGCTCTTAGAATTTTTTAATCAAAAGTCAAGGCCATATTTTCAAGCAATTTAGTAGTATATTTCGTTACTCTTTAAGCGATAAGTTTTAGGTTCGATTCTTGATGGATGAGAGATATATTGTTTTGTTCTCACTCAAACCATTCAGCTTCGGTTGAAGATGTCACACCTCGCCGGTTCTCAGCAGATGGCACCTTTGGAGAAGAACTAATAAAGCCCCTTCAAGAGAGAAAAGTTAACTCTTTTATGGTGGATCGACCCTACTTACATAAAAAGATTCATGTAGATAACGAGTTTAATATTAAATTATTAGAAGTCTGTAACTAATTTATAGAGTGACTGAACTTATTCCACTTTTAATGTCGTTGTATTGAAAAAATCTTTTGGAAAAAAAAAAGGAGGTCAAGATTTGAGGACTAGTTATGTAACTATAAATGTGGTTAATTAATAAAGTTTTGATAGTGATGAAATGATGAAGGTCATTTTGCTTTGCTTTTTGCAAGCATGTGGCTAACTTTTAGAGAGTTTAAACTCTTAAAACACTCTCATCATATATCTCCATGCTCAATGGTTTTGACACACCAAGGAGTTTGTTCTTTGCCCTCAACCCTTCATCATGACCAAACGTGTGCATAATTTCAACTTCTTTTTAGGTGTTCTCGATCACAAATTGATTAAACCAATAAACTATGTGCTTCACAGATCAATCATATATCTTGCAATGTATCGAATTTACATTGATCAAATTTCTCCAAAAGCAAAAATTTTGACTTGACAAATTAACGTCTCAGGCAACGAAAGAGGCAACGTATCTGCTGAAAGACAGATTATTACAAGCCATACGACGACGAAAGTGAAAGAGACTTTCGATGTATCGCAATTGTTCATCTTTTATTTCGTCGACCTTTAACCTTTTGACACTGCCTGCAAAATACTCACTCTCACATGGGTTTGAGGTCATGCCATGCAATGATCACGTCTAAGAAAAGAAGATTCCAAGCAAACCCTTTGATCACATGCGTTTCTTTAACTTTATTTTTATTTTTCAAATACTATTGTGCGTACATAAAAGAAAATATTTTCTCAAGAAGTTGACTACTTAATTGTGAGGTTGATGCGTAGGTACAATATTCATATTCTTTTCTTGTATTTAATTCCTTCATTATATTTGGCTCCCTAGCCGATATTACTCTTTGATGTCAAATGATAAACTACATAAATTTACTCAAAATCTTGGGCGATTTTTGGCCTAAAACTTTTAAAACTCTTATAATAATTCGCATAAAATGTACAATACATAAACGACTTTGTTACTTTAGTCAGTCAACTCATACACGAGGCTTGTCTTTAAATTTTAGTTGTTTTTTTCTTTTTCTTTTTTTTTTCCGAAAACTAAAAAATAGTTAGGTAACTACTTTTAAATTTTACTGTTATACGTTTTAAATTCTTTATAAATTGAAAATTTTAAAATAGTTACCAATCAAAATTTTAATTTCAAAAATAAAAATTAGTAGGGAAGAAAATATGTGTAGGTTTTGAGTAATTAACCTACAAATGTATGAAAATAACCTAGGAGTTTGGATAATTTTATACAGTTAATACATGAAAGAAATTTTGGAATTTGGTTGCAATCACATTGTTGACAAAATTAATTTCGATGCCAATAAGCGTTTTGGGTTCTTTTTGTCCTACTTTCCCCTTTTACCCACCCACCCTTTCGGGAAAGTTCGTGTCTTTTTCTCATAGGCAGACTAAACCGAGGGCATCGTTGTCACTTGACATGGCATGGTATGTGGCATCACCATCCATGCATGATGTATATGTAGCATGACATGACATCGTCCTTATCAAAATGTTGACAGGGTCATGACTCATGATGGACCACACACGCACGTTACACGAACTTCTAATGCAAGCTCGTGTGTCTCCTCCTTAATTTACACTTGCAAAGAGTGGTATGCAATTAAAAGTGTTTTTTTTATGCCCTAAAAGTATTACTTTCTTTTGTTGGTTTCTATTTTATTTAATTACCGAAAGCGAATTTATTAGTGGCAAAGACCAGTTTCTTCACTTGCAGGTAATTTAATATTTTAGTAGATAAAGTATTGAATTTTTATTTATATTCTTTTGTTTGAATTTCTCATCAAATTATTGTAATAGTTTCGAATCATCATTTCCTTAGTAATAATAATTTTTTTTAAAAAGTTTCTTTACTTGATTTTTTTTAGAATGTGCCTTGAACTCAATTTATGATTTTATTTCTTCTAAGTATAATTTAATCAAGAAATCCTATTTAAAGTAGTATGTAATTTATATTTTGAATACGGCATTAATATATTTGACAAGGGGGTGAGAGATTTGATTTAGTTCATAAATAGGTTAGGCTCAGCCATAATTTTTCGTATTGAGTTTTTCATCTACGAGAGTCGAAAGCGTGTAGATGTAGGAAACTTAATCCAAAAAAAAAGATGTAGGAAACTAAAAGCGAAAATTGTTGCGTCCTAAAAAAAAAAAAAAAAGGGCATCGTACAAAGAGTTGAGAATTTTGACCAAAACTTGATACAACTCCATACTTAGTTGAGTGGTATAATCACCTTAATCATCAGTTATCAGCTGATCACACGCTTACGTAATCAATTTTGGCTAAAATTCAAACAATTTTCTTTAAAAAGAAGTATTATTTTTATTGGTGTAGGTACTTGAGAACTCAACCTTTTTTCCTTTGGATAAGTGCTTGGTGTAGCTTCAACCATAGTTGTAAGTTGGAACTTTATAACTTTGAAGGGAGAGGGAAAGGAGTGAAAAAAAAAAAAAGGAAAAAGAAAAAGGGTGGCTAGTGGCGACCTTTCTTTTGGGCAAAAAGAGGGGATGCTTTGTGGGTAACTTCGGTTTGTAATGGTAACTAAATCGGTCCAAAACAAAACCAATTTGATTTTGTTCTGTATGTGGGCATCTGATTGTGTTTGTAGTACCCCACTGGATTTAAAGGGTACCCTACGCGCTAAGGACGTAGGTACCTTCCAGGAAATGTCGATTGTCCCATGGCTCATGGCTCATGGCGTATGGCCTGGTCCCATACGGCGGTACTATATAGGACAGCATAGCAGGAGAGGAGGGAGGGTGAAGGGAATATCCTCAGACTTTGTATGTTATTTCAAAAGTCCAGCCAGCAGACAAAAAAAACAAAAAAAAAAAAGAATTTTAACGAAAAATTTTCGGTACTGTTCATTTTAACAAAAAATCATATTTTTACACTAAAAAGTCAATCCTGATACTATTCAATTTACCCTTTATTTTGTCGTTAAAACTTAAAGTTTTCAAACCATTTTCATTAGTTTTCTTAAATAAAAAAAGCCCAACCAGCTCAGCCGTAGGCAAAGGACACCTAATGGGACACGTAGACAACACCCATTGGCTACTGATAATTTGTTTGGCTTAAGAGCTTATATGTCATGTAAAAATTGACATTTCAGTTGAAAAATACGAAAATTATCTTTTTATTGTTACTATTGATATGGATTTTTTTTTTCTCCTCATTTGAATTTGCTCTAAGGTGTGTTTTAATTCGTTTCCCCGGCCAGATTCATTGTTGGAAAATCAGGCTCATGAATCGACTCTCATGGTCATTTACGACGACGATCATGAAATGATTTTGTAGATCTCATTTTAATGCTCATAGATGTTTACGTTGAAAGCTCTTTTGTTATTCGATAAACACGTTTAACTGTTTATTAAAAACTTACCTCAAATGCTTTATGAATATGTTTTTTAAAAAGCGATTATATGATACTTCTAATAAAACGCAATCAGACGCGATTTAGATTTTTGTAAAATGCTTCTGGCCTTTTACACAAAAAAAAAGAAAAGAAAAGGAAAATCAAAGAAACCGTTATTAGTCACAAAAACTGGTAAAACCTAGCATTAATTGAGCTGATGTGAATGAGTTGATTTGGTTGTCACGGTATAACAATATAGTATTCAAATGAATTTAGCATAATCATAATTAGTTTGGTTTGGCTTAAATTATTTAAAAGTGGGCTAAACAACTAAATCGCATATATTTTGTAGTACTTGATATCTTCTTATTGGTCATCACTTTTGTACTAGTATGTTCCATCTTATACATAGATATTCACTACTTGTTACCAAGTACAAAATCATATAACCATTCCAATTTGACATCAAAATCCTCTTCATCAATTTACAATATAAAATTTGATTTGATTTGTTATAGAGAAATCACTGAACTAAATCCGCTACTAATTAATTGAGTTGATTGGCTTAAAATCAAACCAAATCGAATTGTAACATTAACATTAGTTTGGTTGCAATTTGAGACCAAACCGAACAAAACCAAACTCTATCCTGATCAATATAAACTATTTCTTCTTGAGTAAAAAAACAAAGACTTCCATAGAGGAAAGGAATAATTGAATCGTTACCCTCTCAAATTTCGAATAGGAAATCGACGAACAATTATTGTGTTGTGCGGCCTCCCTCCCACAGTAGTGCTCACAGTCAATTGTGCCCGTGGTATCGACAGAGTGAGTCCCACTCACACAGTCGCACCGCTGCTTTTAAAATAGGCAAAATTGGTCGACATGAATTGGACGCAGGGATGTTGAGACGGTCGCGTCGTACGCTCACTGAAACGTGCACGACAACACCTCAGCCCATTGCCTATCCATTCACAGGTGTCCTCAAGGAAAATGTGCTGCTTTTGCTCCACGGTTGCAATCTCAGGGATTAAATTTGTTTATAATATCTACGTACAATTAAAGTGGCAATTTAAAGAGATTTTAGCTGGTCCGTCTATTTTTAATTGATGTGTCACTATGTTTGATTGATGTTTCGTTAACGTTTGATTGATTTTGCACCTGGTTTCATAGATATTTTGTTAACGTTTGATTTATATGTCACTATCAAGGTTCTAAAAATGCTAAACGTTATTTGGAGCGTTGGAGCTTAGCGGCTAGGCGGGGACCTAGGTAGATTTAAGTAAATTTATTATATATTGTATAAATAAGTGTTTGTTTATACTTAAACGCACACATAATTATATTGGAATACATAAATTGCAAAATAAAATGAAATATGAGTTATAAAGTATTAGAACATATTTAAAATGGAAATAAGCATATAATGACTGTTCATCCAAGTATTCAACAAGTTTCTAATATTTTATTAAAAAATTAAAATGCAAAATGAAAGTTATCAATTTTCTATCCAAGTGAGAGTCGAGATCTAGGTGGGTGTCTAGGCAGGTTTAGACGGGGGCTTAGGTTGACTCCTAAGTGGGTCTAAGCGTACTTTCTTAATTTTTGTATTCCTAAGGACTAATTGGGGCGGTGATTAGCTGCCAAGCACCTAAGCTGGACCTAAGCGGAAATTTTTAGAATAATAGTCACTATTTTTTTATAGATATTTTGTTGATATGTCATCAATATTTAAGTTAATCAATTCATCAATTGAAATTTATAAAATTCATCATTTTAGCCAATTTATGTAGTAACATCAATCATTTAAATTTTATAATAAGATGAAAACTTCATTAAGGGGTTATTCTCATCTATTGACTATGTAGTTTTGGATAAATTTTCTAAATTCTCGGAAAATTAGCTCAGGATTGACCATTGATAGTTGCATTTGTTTAGTTTCGATTCCAAGCACGTAAACATGCCACTTAAAAATAATTAGAACGAGTGAGATAGGTACATGTGGATATATATATACACACACACACACACAAAAGAAAGTTTTAAACTTGTACTCCTCAAGCTTTGCCCTCTCCTAAAATTTTGCTGGGGATGTCACATAGGACCAAATTGATTGTTAATTATAATCAAAAGAATCCTAACCATAGAATAACTTATCAAATTGATAAATAATGCTAGGCCAATGTGTTCCCATCTTTGACCTCCAACTATAGACTAGAATATTCAACAACCCAAAAATACTAAATATTATAATTAAGATTAAACTAATTTTATCGAACAAATAATATTATCTCTATCAAGAGGTAGAAGAGTGGGTGAAGCCGTATAAAGGGCTATTAATAATGTGGTTCAAATTTGGTTTTGGCGAGAATCAAACTAAAACTACTCACTTATAAGTGAAGAAGAATATCACTAGACCGTAGTACTAAATGATAAAATTGAACTAATTTTATATTAAGATTTCGAAATTAAGAATCCTCTTGATCATTATAATTTGTTTATTTTGTTTATATATTTGTAGCCAAAATTCAAATGTAGGGTAAGTGCTGAGAATGACATTAATGACATGTCATTGTCCAAGTGGTTGTATTTGTATGCCACTAAAACCAAACCGCACACTTAAGAACAAGTTTCTTCCGTTTTTAGTGCTTCCTTCGCTCTCACCAGCTGCAAAGTGGCTAACTGCTAATACCACCTTAATTATAACTGAACTGCACCTGATCGCATTTGCACCTAGCCACGCGCACGTTGGCCACATAAAAAAAAAAAAAAAAAAAAAGCAGCCAAAATATAGCTATATTTATAATCTGAAAGATTGCATCCCATGTTAATATTATTCAAGTTTTCGCTATCTACGATTTATTTACGATTATCTGAAAGTGTTGTTGGAATAAAAATACCCCCAAAATATGCAATTTTTTTAGAAGTACCCACTTGGTAAACAAGACTTTTAGTCCCGTTACGCCGTTGGCGGTACTAGGATGGCTGGATTGAGTAGATATTTCGTAACTTTGTCAAATGTCTTTTGGAAATTCCCGTTCATTGTGTCTTATCTTTTTTGAAAGGCCGAGTATTTTTTCTGAGCAGTTTAAAGATTTTTAGAATTATATCTAAATAGTCTTCCATTGATATTTCAAAGGAGCAAAAGTAACATTTCCGAAGAGTAGAAACTTGAAATTGTAACCAACAATAGCATCACTAAACCAGATCACAACCGTAGGAATAACAACAAAAACAAATCGCAGTGTTCCAAACCGGTTCAGAGACGAACCCGATCCACCAAAATTTATCTCATATCTACCCCCGTCTATTCTCTTATTTACAAGTTTTGTTTTTTCTGCTCTTTTTCATATCAACTTCTTATTAACTCTAATCCCTTCTTAATTCAGCAATTTCTTCACATAATTGAGCAGGCATTAGGGTTCTCGTCGCTGAACATCTCCGGCGGGTTGCCCAAGTACATTGGTGGAGGCGGAATCGGGTATCCGGGTGCTCCGTATCCAGGGCCGTATGGGATCACGTATGGAATCTGCTGCCCGTACCCGGTCGGACCCGGAGGAAAATCCATCCTGTTCCCCTCAAGTTTCCCACCCTCCTTTCCCTCCTCCCCTTCCTTTTTCTTCTTATCCCCGCCTCCGCCGTTATTGTCGCCCTTCTCCTTCTCTTTCTTCGGCGGGACAATGTCGACGGACCTCCTCAGCTTCTCCTTCAAGTTCTCTGCCAGAACGTTCATGTCCATCGAGCCCTTCACCATCAGCAGATCCTTCTCCTTGTCGATGCTCATCTCGGTGAACCCTGCCACGTCACCCACGTTAAAAACCAAACCAAAATCACAAAAACGGCGGCGTTTTACTGCGAAAAGTTGCCAATTAGTGGGAGATGATAAGCTCACCTTTCGTCTTGGTGACGATCCTGTGGATCTTCTGGATGCATCCCTGGCAGTGGAGGTTCAGCTTCAGAACCGCCGTCGTCACCGGAGGCTGCACACACAAATATACAAACCATTTAATTAAAAATTAAATAATTGAAAATATTGAGGCTGGCGCACGTTAGCGAAGGGGGAACCAGTGCACCAGTGCGCTGTTGTAAGTACGCACCTCTTTGGTTTTTTTGTCGTCGTTGGATTTCTCCGGCGGCTTTTTCTTGGCGTCGCCGCTGTCGCCATCGTCTTTGTTGTCCTTTTTGGGCTGGGGGGAGACGAGGTCGACCTTCTTATTGGTCTTGGCGGCGAGTTTGTCCCGGAGAGTGATGGGGTCCACTTTCCCGACCACCGTCAGCTTGTTCGCCTGGCTTTCTGACTTCACTGTCTCCACCTCTGTAACCAAACGACGCCGCCGCAAAAAATCAAAAAATTGTTCGAATCTAAATTTTGACGAACCTTAAAGTAGGAAACATAGCATATTCGGAATCAAATTTCTTTGAATTTGTTTTGAAAAAAATAAAAAAAAATTCTGGGGTTTGACGAGTGAGTCTGACGTCTGTGGGAAATAAAAAGTAAAAACCCAGATGCAAAAAGAAGTAAATGAATATTTTTGGGTAAAAACCCAGATGCAGAAAGCATTAAATGAACATTGCTGTGAAAATTTTGAGGAAAATCGTGTGGAAAATGAAGGGAAATTTAGAATTCGTGAAGGAGATGTGATGAGTTTTGAAGGATTTATTATCGTACCTGCAAAACTTTTGACGCATTTGACAATCTTGGTAGCGCAGCCCTCACAGTGCATGTCAATCTTCAGGATGACAGTGATGGGGGTTTCCTCCTTCTTCTCACCTCCGTCGCCCTTCTTCTTCTCACCCCCGTCGCCCTTCTTCTTCTCACCCCCGTCGTTGCTGGCGGTGTTACCGCCGCCGCCGCCGTTCTTCTTCTGCATTAAACCAAAAACAAACACCAACCCATTAGTCGAAACACAAAACCCAAAAGCATAGAGAAGGAGAGGGAGAGTGAGGAATGCAGTGTGACCTTGGCCATGGAGGATTGGTTTTTCTCTGAAAAATTAGTCGGGTTTCTTTTCCTTCTGGTTTTTCAGGAATTGGAGAGTGGGAGAGAGCAAGGAGACGTTGTGTGAGATGGTGGGAGGGTAGTGGGTATTTAAAGGCCGAGAGAGTTGCGGGTCAGTTACTGTTGTAGTGTACAGCTGGATGTAAATTTTTAAAAGAAAACTAATGAATAAGTGTTTGAAAATTTTGCGTTTCAATGATAAGAATAAAATAAATAGTATTAGAATTTATTTTTTAGTATAAAAATATAATTTTTCGTTAAAATAAACAATACTAAAATTTTTTCATTAAAGCTCTCAAATTTTTATGATGGGGACGATGGGGGTTGCCTATGATATGATTGTGTATGTATGTATGTATGTATGGTCAATGTCATTGAGGCATTTTCACATACATGTCATGTGCGTCGGATGTGTGTGGGCGTGTGAAATGGGGCTTCGTATTTACGCGTGGCGAACGAGGAACGAAACTTCCTTGTATTTTTGGAGGAAGGTGAGGTGGGGTTTGGTGGTCGTACGCGAAGGATTGCGTGGAAAAAGCCCATAGGCTCATAGATTTTGGTCTTGGTCTTGTGGGGTTTTAAACTTTGGCAGCTTTTTCTCTCTGGGTCTATAAAGTGGACCCTGATGACTTCTCTAAGGATACCACGTCGGTTAGTAATCCGGCAATCGTGTGATGCGATGCGACCGTCACACTCAAGTTTTTCGCAATTTAACAGTTCTCCTTGACTAGTGTGACATTATAAAGTATGCATCTGTTGCGAGCCATATGCCGACTTGGCCGAATTAGAAATATTGGACATATCACATGGTTTGAGTAAATTAGATAAAACATTCCGACAACTATCAATTATTTTATAAAATCACTTTAAGAGGCTAATTGAAAAATAAAAATCTTCATGCATCCAGTCAAAAGATCAATTGGTGTTCTTCTTCCATTATAAAATAAGAAATTAACGTTTTTTTGCTTGGAGTTCGAGTAAAGTGAATGTTAGCAAAAATTTCTATGCGAAAAAGAATGTATAAATATGTAAAGAAAATTCTCCATAGTAATGTCTTTGCATGTGGTGAAATGCAGAGACATTTTTCTTTGAAGAAGTGAAATGTACAACACTACCCTTGGCCCAATTACGTTAGACTTATGTATATCAGCCCAATAAGTATAGTTTCAAAGACCATAGGAAAAGGCCCATTCCATTTCATGATATTAGTACACTACAAAATTTCTAGGGGCATTTTAACCGTAAAATTTAAAATTTATGTTTTTTTTTTTTTTTTTTTTTGGTTTTTACCAAAGATCTTTTTTTGTCAATCAAAGTAAATTTCATTAAAAGAGAAAGCTAGTACAAAATGAAGACAACTCAAAACGAGAGTCCAGAATAGTCAAGCAAAACTCCAACTCTATAAAAGAAAATTACAATGAAATGGGCCCAAAGTGAGCAGCCCAACGCAACTAACAACTAGAAAAGCCTAGACATGAAAATGTAAAGCAACCACATCCACCAAAACAGCAATACCGCCACTGCAGATCCGTCGCCATCACCCGAAAGAAAGGTCGAAGAACCAAATAGATGCATGAAAAATGAGGGTAGGCAAGCTACCCGTGCTAAGAGCACTCCCATAATCCTACCAATTAGTGCAAAATGCACTTTAAATGCTATAAGCCACCAAAGTGCACCTCTGGAGGAGATCCTAGGAAGAGACACCCAATGAAACGACCAACAAGGGTAGATGGTTGTAAATTCACATTGAGGAGCGATATTTGGAGAGGAGCAAGGTATAGAAGCCAGATCTGAGATCTCAGGGACATCTTAGACGAAGCTCAGAGCAACCTGAGACACAAAATGCTCAAAAAGGAAAAAGTTGAAAATTAAATGCATAAAAAGAAAATCCAAATCACCAGCTATGGTGGTTTGGAGAAGTGAAAACCGGGGTGGAGTTGAGAGAAAAAAGGGAGCTGGGAAGGTAGGGGAAAACGGAGGGAGAGAATGGGAGATATAAAGGTAACAGAGGGTGGAAAAAAGGGGGAGATAAAGGAAGGCGAACAACAGGGAGAGAAGGGGAGAAAGAAAGGAATCAGAGGGTGGAAGAAAGGAGAAGAGGGAGGAGTATGGGCACTAAGCTGCCGCCGACCCAAAGCCGGAGTAAAGAGTCGACATGAAGAAGGGTTTCAAAGCTTTAGAGGTTTATGGGGGAGAGAAGAGGGCACATGGCGAATGGTGAGTGTTTTTTTTTTTTTTTTTTTTTTTTTTTTTTTTTTAACAAAGATCTAAGTGTTAGAAGACCCGGAGTACGGAGCACCACGGAAAATCCATAATACTTAGGGAGCTTTACATCCAAAATCTTCATCTATCAACAATTTATCAATGAACTCTTCATAATCCATAGTTTAGGGTTTATAAACCCAAGCAGCCAAAAAAAAAAAAAATCTAAAACCCCAAATCTCAAACATCGACCCATAAAGACTATGGGGTTTCTCATAAAAAGGGAATTGTTATTGGCACTCCAAAAATCTCATTTTACACTTCAATTTTTTTTATAATTAGTAAGCACTATACAGTTAAGTGGATTGTAGAATGCGATTTTTGAAGTGCTAATAACAGTTCCTGTTAAGTACTAGATTTAATGTTTGGCTTCCCTTGTCAAAATTTGTAAATACTACCACACATGCTCATAATTTAGAGTTAGGGTACAATGCTGATCTGGGATTACTACTGGGATTGAACTTGTCAAGCACCGGCCATCATCACTACAAAAGGTTTGATTCATACATTTGCATATGCATATCAAGCTTATTTTTTTAGATTTCTTTTGTTTAGTGTAGTTGTCTAGTCAGAAATTCATTCTACTATCCAACTGTTTAGGCACGCAAATTAAGATAGTCCACATAAGCCATCTGACACATTTTTCTGTGCGTGGATTTCTCACCCTTGATCTGAAAAAGGTTTCTTTGGCTTGTGACATGTGTCTCCTTATTCCTTTTGTTTGAAACATTCAGCTATTCCATTAAAAGAGGTTCTAAGGGTTCATTTGTTTCTTGGCTAGGTTATTCACATTTCAAGAGAAATAGTTCTTTTAGCCTAGTGCTACCTCTTAAGCTTCCAAACCGAAACCTTGGCCACAAAACCATCTCATGCACAAACACACCCAGTCACTGCATATTAGCGTTGCATTGTTTTCATGGTTTTACATTAAGTTGTTGGTCTATACCTTAAGTTTTATATCCTTCATAGACCAATTTTTTAAATTCATGTTAGGTTCTTCTTCAATTGTTTGACTAGAGAACCTGACTGGTCGTTTGGGTCCTCATTTAATAAGCATATCATAACATCATATTATTGATTGTGTTGATCTCGGTGCCACAAAATGAAGAGCTCAGGAGGAGCTGTCATCTCATGAAGACCAAAGGAGTTCATCTTTAGTAAGACAATGTTATACAAAGGTAAAGCTGCTCCATAGACTGGGATCTAGGAATTGAGCTTATGTGGTCTTTGTAAAAACTTTGTTTATATTAGTGGATTGGACTCAGTGGAGACTTCCCGGTTTTTTAACCCAAATGTGGGTTTTTCCAGCCAAAAACTTTCTCGTGTTCAATACTTTACAAAGCATCCTTTATGACCAAATAACCACTGTTAGAGGTAAACATTGTAGGGTTTGCTAGTATTGACACTTTGTTAAACAAGTAAACATAACTCAATAATTAAGGTTAAAACATAACTAACGATCACACTACGTTATTTTAGCATTATAAGTTTGCTTGGTTTATATGCTTGTCAGCACCTAATAATCTGTACTCAATTGATTAGTACGTTTGATTAGTCAATGCAGTTGGTTTCAAAGTTTTTATTATAGGGTAATCCGCTTGGTATCAATTTCAGTTCCCCATTAAAAAACCTATATATATTTCACTCTAAAAATTAGGTTTTTTTTTTTTTTTTTTTTTTTTTTTTTTGTTGTTGTTGAAAGGAATCAATAGTATTTTCATTGATAAAGAAGACAAAACAAGGTCAAACAGAAGCCATATTACAGATAGCAACGATCTTCCAAGAGGGCATCCAAAATCAGATTGGGAAGGGACCCCAACCATTTACAAAAAGTACTAGAACCAAGGCCACATCTAGCGAGACGATGCGCAACACCGTTGGCTTGATGACGAATATGGGTACAGTAACTTTAGTGATCATGGAGAACAGTGCTTCGTATCCTTAATAACTTGCCAATCAGAGATAAATTAACCATAGATCCTTCTGTACTCCTAGAACCTGAAGCGAATCAAGCCCAACAACCAAATTTTGGAATCCCCTAGTCTTTTTGCGCAAGCCCCCCCCTCCCTTCTTTTATCGCCAGGGCCTCTGCTGAGTTCTAAGAGTTTAATTACTAGTAAGAACAACTTGAAACATCCCCACATTTTGCCCATGCAGCTTGAGCAAAAATGAAGTGTTAGTGTATTTTGAGTTCCTAAATTAAATAGTCAAAATATCTTTTTAGATATTTAAAATAACAACACGCGAATAATGTTATTGTGTGATAATATAAAAATATTGGCTCCATACTTGTGAGAACATAAATATTATCTTGTAAAATGTTCAAACTTGAAACAAATCAAATACAAAGTTTTGATAGATGAGATTATACCAACTCACAAGCACTAGATCCTATTAGATTTTGAAAATAAACGAGTTTAGACTAAAGTAGTAGTAAGATGAATGAACTCTTGGAAAATCCTCGTGTTGCATCCCCCTCTTTATTTTATGTTTTCTCACCAAAAATAAATTATACAGTCTTGCCTCCAAATAAGCTATAAATTGATTTTGTGAATCCACGGTATCTTTCTTTGTTTAACTTCCGTGGCACGACCGCAGGCAATGTTTGCCTTCTTTAATTTCACCAATTTTTTTTTTTTCCGATGAAGACTTCAGGATCAATACGTGGGGCATCTTTCTTCGGGACATCTACAACAAGAAGTAAACATATTCATCCAATAAATAAACAATTTAAAATACTAAAAACTGCGTCGTATAGATAACATATTATCTTCCATACCTAAAATTGACATAACAAAAAAAATAAAAAGTGATATAACAAAAAAATAAAAAGTGAACTAAAATGAGTAATTATATTTCTAGATATACTGCGTTTGTATTGAACCCTACCTATACTATGGTAAGAATTTCCAACTTACTAAGTTATAAGTATCTGGTGTCAAGATTTTACAAACAAACGATATTACTACTTTAAATTTTATTAAGGAGAGGGGGAAAATTTCAATCCCAAAAACAGTGTATTGAAGAAGAATGCCTATCAATTAGAGCATGGTCCAAATCGTTATAAAAATCTAATAACAGTTAATTTATAAAGATTAACATATGTACAAATTTACTCTAATACAAATTCCATACCATTACTTAACAGAAGAGGTGTTCTAGACTTTTTCTAGATATATTTGAAGTCCTTATTTTTTTTACCTGTAGTAACTGTTGTATTTTCACAGACAAAAAAAAAAAAAAAATTGTATGTATAGGGTTAGGATCGGGAGACACATAAATTTTGATATACTTTCATAAAGCTCACTCCATAATGTATTTCAACGATCCAACCGTTTATCTTTTAGATATTTCCTCGAATATATCTTTAAAAAAAATTACTCAAATATGAAATTATATGATTGCTGGATTAATCATCTATCTTTACAGAATCGTATTCATTCATTTTCTTTCCTACAAATGAATGTTTTAATGGTTATGGATTTGTCTATTTTTTTTTCAAAATTTCAAAAAAAAAAAAAAAAAAAGAAAAAAAAGGATCTATGAATAATAAATTGAAATATAAATTGTTTCGATCATTAAAAAGATTTACGATACAGAAATCACAAGAAGGTGTCAAAATGTATGTAAAAAAATTGTGTGTCCCCCAATTCTAACCTATATATGTAGACTACATAATGTAGTTATCCAAAATATGGGGCACTAAAGAGTGTAGTGCTCACTTACTTTGTCTAGCGAAGTACAATGCCTGATATTCAGGTTTCTCCCATGGTTTTGGAAAGAACTTCCTTCGAAGTTTTTCCTTTAGTTCAGAAGCTTTTTTTGGAGCATTTTGCGCCATCTCAACAGCTTTCTTTGGAGCATTTTGTGCCATCTCAACAGCTCCCTTCTGAACATTTTGCGCCATATTAATTGCTCCCTTTTGAATCTGGTTAACCATCCCGTCAGTGTTTTCTTTGCTCGTTGCTGCTGTTGCCACTAATTATATAAGTCACAATTAATTCATAAAAAGGAAGAATTGTCACTTACCACTACGTTGACGTTCTAATGATATTCTCTTTCACTTGTAAGCGGTGTTTTTTAAATTCGACTCCCGTGAAAAGCGAATTGGATATCAAATTAATTATTATAGCTGATTCATGCGATTTAGCCCAAATCACGTAACCCTTGTGTAAGTGTATCGGTGTGTGCGTATATATACTTACATGATACAACAGACTATTTCGAAGCCTAGAAAGTATTACATAGGAAGAAGTAGTAGAATAACCTGAAGTGGCTTTTATTTTGGTCGAACCACCTGAGGTGCTCGGTATAGAATTCCACAATCCTTTGCTGGCGGAGGAACGTGTTTTTCCTACCTCCTTTGGGTTGGTCTCTTCAAAACATGAGAGGACAAACAAAGTTAGTCAAATTCAACAGCTATGAAATCATTTGGTAACGGTTTCGTTTACATTTTTGGGTTTTACCTTTTTGTTAGGAAGAGACAAAAAGTACAAAAGTCTCTTCAAGAAATTAAATTTAAACACGACGATATTCCTAATTTCTTCAAGCTACTTGGTGTAGCATTTCTGATGAGGGCCTCCCTTCCCGCTATTGTCATCCCCAACATTGGATTTGGGCATCCCGATACGAGTTTAGTGCTCTCAGTTCTTGTCATTGATAATATGTCGATATGAAGCAAGTGACTTGAAGAAATTAGGAATCCTCCTTTCCATAGTTGAAATGAATTAGTGCAAATTATCCTAACACAATAAAATAATATGTCGATATAAAATGATCAAAGATCGAGCATTTAAACGCAGAAACCATTGACCTTTTGAGTTACAAAATTATAATATTCGAACATTTTCATAGCATAGCATTATTTATATCAAACATTCAACCTATAAAATGCAGACAAACAGATCATGTATGGACAATTCCTTGTAGTTTCGTTTTATTTGGTTTGATTTCTAATCCGGGGTCATTGTTTATTCTTAAGAGGAGAATATTCAAATATTAAATATACCTCTGTCCAATTTGAGGTAGGAGGATCCTTTCCGGATCCACTTTATTAATACATATGATTGATCTCCTATAATCCCAATATAGTCTAGTTATCAAATTTTAAGTGGTAAAAACTAATTTATACACTACGTTGAATTTCGTATAAATTCGGACAAGTAATCGTCTTCTCTAAACCAATTTAAATTCAAACATTCGGCCAAAATACTTCTAGCTAGACTTATACTCTAACAAATAGAAAAGAGGTAATTTAGGTTGTTAAGTTAAAACTGCATGTCTGGTAAGAAAACATGCATGTTTTTACTTCTAAGTTCAATGAAAATACCTGCAACACGATTAATGAGTCTGCCAAGCATGGTAGGGGTGCCTGAGGCAATTGCGCCGTTTGGGAACTCCACACGCAACCTGTTCGGGTCCTCCTTCTGGTTCTGATTACCCTGCATTATTAATCATATCACAAACAACTCACACAAGCGCAAAGAAATTAAAGACAGATCTCAAGGTTATAGATGTGGCTGAGTCGATTGACGTACGTTTCCCATCGCGATTTTAATTTCTTTTTTCTTCTTCTTTTCTCGTCACTGGGAGATGATCAGTGGAAAATGAGGAGAGACATGGCCTGTATTTAAAGAAATCTGAGACCGATTCAGTTTTGATTTATTAATTAACTTCTACACCTGGATCGCATTAGCAGAGAGTGGGTCTTTATTTATTTTGTTCAAGACTAAGTCTAAAGACTCGTGAAATATATATAGAAGCATTATTTGTTCGTTACTAAACATATTCTGTAGTTACTAAACAAGAGAAAAAGAAAAAAAAAAATATATATATATATATATATATATATATATATATCAGATTTTGAGTTACAAATGAAAAAAATATAACAAATCTGAAAATGTAATGGTTTGTTCGTTAATATTTTGCAAAACAGTTTATTACATATACAACGAGTGAAAAATGTGTTTGACATATTATTTTGTGACAATTAAGGAGCTAACTTGAATAAGCTAATGTAGAACTCAAAGGCATGCTATAATCTGTAGAAACTCGACAAGAATAAAAAAGAGAAAAAGAAAAAAAGGTAATCATAGTTTGAGATGTAAATGAAAATGTATAGAGAAGATAACGAGAGTTTTTGTTTATGGAAAAGCTAACCACCACGGTGATTTTTTATGGATGAGGAGCATTGTCTTTTTAGAAATAATGTTAATATAATATTAGCATACAACTTCATTTCAATACGACGTCTATATTATTATTCGTGAGTGTTACTATGTTTATCCCATAGTTGTATATCTCCATCCGCATAATGCGTGACTTTTATCTATTTATCTTTACTATTAGAAAGACAAAACCATACTTTGGGGTCACAAGACTTCATAAAAATTTATTGGACGCAAATGTCCCTGAAACCAAAAAACTTGTAATGGAAGTGAAAATCCCCGTTTGTTTGTTCCAAGGATATTTTTGTAATAATGCTAAAGACGTGTGAAATAATATAAGCATTATTTGTAGGAATGAGGATCATCTTCGAATTCTTTAATTGTATCCGTTTATCGTAAATCTAGTTTTCGTCAGGTACTATTTGTATTTAATTTTAAATAAAAATTTTAAAATAATTTCTGACTGTACAATGCACAATGAATAGATACAATTGAAGGATTTCCGGGATCTTCAAAAAAAGAATCCGAAAAGGATCCTCAATCATTTGTTAGCACTAATGAGTGTCTCTGTTTATCAAAAAGACTCCAGGGTCATTGTTTAATGGGTAAATATCAGTTTACTACCCTCAAGTTTCGTGGTTTTCAACATTTAGTACATGAAGTTTTTTTTGTCCCAGAGTCATACCTAAAGTGTTAATTTTGGGATAGTCTCATACATTCGTTAGTTTGGCTGTTAAGTTTTCTGTTCACGGATGACGTGGCACCCATGTGAACAATGACTGGGCGCTACGTATCATTAAGAGTCCACGTGGAAATCAAAATTTTGAAAAGAAAAAAAATCCCGCCCAAATTTTAACCCATAACATTCATTTTTTCTCGCCAAAAATCACAACCTTCTCTTCAAATGGGTCTACTCGGATTCGAGTATTCTCAGCATAGGACCTATACTCCTTTCTTCAAACACTGCCTTGCGCGACGACGACTCGTCCGCGATGGTCAAGTGACAGACGGCGAAGATAGCCTGCTCGCAGACGGAAGACTGGTGGTGGAAATCGAGCGTTGGTACATTGGTCGGCGAGGGTAGTGAGGCGATGAACAGTGGAGAGGAGTTGAGGTAGGAGGGTGAGGAGGAGGGGGTTCTGGGGCCAGTGGGCGGAGTCGAAGATGTCAGCGACGGAGGAATGAAGGGCGGTCCAGCTGCCGACGAAGGAGTGGACGGTGAGGGAGGAGCGGAGGAGGAGGGAAAGGGTGAAGTTGATGAGGTCCTGGAGGGTTTGGAGTGGGTTTGCGGCGACGACGGCGGCGAGATGCATTTGGGAAGTGGAGGGCCGGATTAGAATCGGGTCGGGTTTTGGTTTGTCTCGGGCATCGCTGAACACTGCATGAGAGAAAGAGAGAGAGATGCTTGGAAGTAAAGAAAAATGAGAGCAACAATGGAATGAAGGAATGCAGTGAGTTATGGGTTAAAAATGGAGAGAGCGATCGAGAGGAGTGTGGGGAAGAGATCAACAATGGCAGGCAAATTTGATTTTTTTTTTTGAATTTTTAATTTCCACGTGGATCCCTTAATGACATGTAGTGCCCAGTCATTGTTCATATAGGTGTCATGTCATCAGTTAATGGAAGATTTAACAGCTAGACTAACGGATGTATGACACTGTTCCAAAATTAACACTTTAGATATGATTCTGGGATGAAAAAAACTTCATGTACCAAATGTTAAAAATCACGAAACTTGAAAGTAGTAAACTGATATTTACCCTTGTTTAATTGATGAGAACCGTTGACTCATTAGCCATAATTGATAAGTTTTTTAATGTATGTGTCACAGCATGTAGCGATTACCTTAATTTGGTTTATAGGGCCAAATTCAAACTCTGCGTCCTCTATCGTGTTGGTGAAATTATAATTTTGGACTTGGATGTCAACATGTTTAGAAATTGTAGTTTGCAACTTATATTTTTTTTTTGTAAAGCTAACTTTCTAAGCGGATGGCGAACTTGGGTCACAGAAGCCAGCAGACACCAACACATTCACCCAAAGTGACAACCTCGTGGAGGGGCTGTGCCAGGGCCGAAATCTCGCCTGAACAAGTTCCTTGTAGTTTCGTTTTATTTATTTTATTTCTAATCGGGGGTCATTGTTTATTCTTAAGAGGAAATGTCATTGTTTAGTGGTAAGCTTGGATATTATCTCGGTTTCACATTCAATTGCCCCTTAGAATAAAAATGCAAATACTACATATACCTCTTTCAAAAAATTAAAAAAAAAAAAAATTAAGAAAAAACTCATCGGATTTTGAGTTGCGAAATATGTAAGAATAATTTTACATGTATCAGGTGATGAAGAAACCATGAAGCCATAATCTTCACAGTTGACGTTATCTTCTCGATCTGTGAGAGCGGAGGACATTTTTATATGTAATCAATTAATCCGTATGATTAATCTCTTATTATAATCTCAATATAGTCTGGTTATCAAAATATAAGTGGTAAAAACTAGTTTATACTATAAGTTGAATTCCATATTAATTAGGACAAGTAATAATATTTTCTAAAGAATCTAAACCAATTTGAACTCGAACGCTCGACCAAAATACTCACAGGTAGTCCTCCAAAATCAGGTCGGCCAATCAGAAATGCTCAGATAAATTGACTTGCACAGATGCAGCAGCTCTTGCCTGAAGACTTGGGGGCTGGTAGATGCTACATATATGCGCATAAATTAACGAAGAATAGTCAACTTTGTCCACGTCACTAACGAACGAAGACTTGTTGACCCTGTACATGATCACCGTTAGATGGAGGATCCTAACGAGTCGATTTTATACTATAAATTATTCCCTATTCTTGGTATATTTTGGTTATTATTTTGGTGAGATTTTGATTTCTTGCTACGTGTTTTTAATGTAACACATGCGAACTTGTTTGGAGCATAAAGTAATCAAACAGTGGAATTTTTTAGTGATTCCAATTGGAGCGGGTTTGTAAATCTGTCAAGAAGGTTATGTCAAAATTTCATAATTTTATCCCAAAGCATCTGATCGTGATGAATTAATTTATGCCCAGCTTGCAGTGCTGGCAGATTGTGCTGCAGAGCTTATTTTTTATTTTTGGGCTGAAATATGATGGATTTTGGATTTGGGCTCTTCCTGGAACTTGAAGAGTAGGTCCTAATCTTTAGTTTGAGTCGTTTTGGGCCTGTTTTAGAGCCCTGAAGGTCTAGAAACGTGGTTATTTTTGTGTTTAGCAGATTTCCTAATCATAATGGGAATGTAATTCCTAGTTATCCTTTTATTATTTTATTTCCTAGTTTTTTAAAATCCTTTTCCTATGAGGGTTTTAATTTGGGGTAGTATAAATAAGGTTTTTAGCCATTAGGGTTCACGACACGACATTGAGATAATTTAACATTGAGATAATTTAGCAAAGCTTTGGAGAATTTTAGACTTTTTACTTACAAGGTGTTTTCATTCTTTTTCTAGTTAATGATATTTTCTTTGATTTTTATTATGAGTATGCGTAACTAATTCCTTTTGTTAGGGCGAAGCTTTGAGCCTTAGCATGAATATGTAATTTTTATTTAATTGCTTATGATTGATTACATGCATACTTTGAATTATTAATCACTGTGATTAAAACTATCTAATTGTCTTAATGCCTGATCACCATTAGGATCTTTAGAAAAGTAATTTGATGCAATTTTGGTCGGAAGGTTCCTTGAAATTGGCGCTGGCTTCTTGTGATTAATAATTGTAATCTTAAGGGTTGCAAAATTTTTCAAAGGGTTTTTATAAAACTTAATGAGTCTCTCATGTTCATATTTGATCCGAACGTCAGGATGGGTTGCATGTTAGATATACGTTCTATGTTGGATGTTCCAAGTAGGATATACATTAGGAAAACCTAACCTTCAAAGTAACATGTGTAGATCATAAATAATTGGTAAAAATGCATATGATTGCTAGGTAGTGATGGAACCCTAGTGCTTTTATAAATTGGTATTTAAAAAACTGTTTCTTTTTCCTTCAGCTTTAATATTGCAGATTGTCTTATTTTTATTAGTTAAATTCGTTTTATTAAATTAGGTCATGAAAATCAATCATCTCAAATTTCCATTTTACAATAATTAATTGGAATTTGATTTGCTTCGAATTATTTAATAATCTCTGTGGAGAACGATCTTGCTAGACCCGTTTATACTACAATAACCTTGTAATTCTTGCAAATTTTATAGGAGTTTTTAACCTTTTCGCGTGTGTGGTAAAAGCCCTATCAGACCCATTGACTTGTAGCTCCATCAACGCTGGATGGAGAGATGGTGACTTAGAGAGGGCCACCAATTTCTACAATTAAAGGACTCGACCGTGCTTTAGGCCCCAAAAGGAGGATTGCCACATGGTGAACTTGCTAAGAAGGTTTGAGGGTTTATAAAAGGAAGCCTTTCACATTGAAGGGGTCAGTGAAGTCACTCCCATAAGCTCTCTCCCCCTTTCTCTCTATGTAATGGCTGCTAAGCCTATGTAAATATAATAGCTCCTCTAATACTCAATACAAATACAACCACAGTGG